ACAGCAAGAGTTAGGACAGGCAAAAAGTAAAAATCCACACAAAGACCATTGTTCCACACAATGAATCTAATTGCACTCAGCAGCTCATCTGCTTGCCTGAACAACCTGCCCCCTCCTCAGTGCAGCTAATGAACGATGACTTCTACCCACCCATGCTTCGTGGTGCTAAGACCTCACAGAGTCAATGCCTCACCGCTCTCTCTGCAACTGCTCACCCTCACAGAGTTTCTTTGCCTCTTTATTAAGCTCTTCACTCCCTGGGCTCCCTGTCACATATTGGAAAGAACACATTCTTCCTGCCTGAGGGGAGCAGACACTCCTGCCACTCCACACCTATACATCTAGCTGGTTGTGCTCATCGCTGCGAGACGCCAGACATCCTCACACCCTTCCTCTGAGTGATCATGAACTAGTACATGGCAAATGGCACAGATGTTTCTTCTGCAATTCCTAGAACAAAAGGTGGTGTTTCATCACAAATATCCTCAAAAGTTCCTGAGATCTCTGAAAGCATAATGAATAAAGAATTCACTCATAGGCAAAAACAGGCAGTGCACCTCCATTGGCAATAAGATTGATGGAAGTACTCCCAGGGCTGTCTCAAACACCTGGCTGAAAACACCTAAGGAGAAGCAGCGGGAGGAGAGAAGAGAAAAAACAAACCAACAAATCAAAACAGTATTTTCCTAGAACTGTGGTGCTTAATTTTTGGTTTGATCTGAGAACTTATAATTGAACCTGAACATTATCTAACATTCAAAAAGAGTATTTTCACTCTTTTGTTGCATATAGATTTGCTTCATGATGTACAGGAAGGGAAGGTAAAATGTGAGTCTGCACGAATGTAGTAAAGACATTTGATAGAAAGCAGGAGAAAGTTCAGTCAAAGCAATCAGATCTGGGTTTGGCTCAGTGACATCCCTTTTCCAGAAGCCTGTTCCACAGTCAAGGTCTCCATGCTAAAGTGCATCTCCCAGATTTGACAGACCACTGCTATTGGACAGGAAATTTTATTGCCGCAGCAAAATTTAACTCATGAAGAGGAATTGCCCCAGTAGGTGGATCTGAGTAGCGTAGTGAGGAGAAGATGTACCCATCGCAGGGCACAGCATGCTCAGTGAATCAGTCTCGTGGATGGCATATCTAGTGCTAATAGGGCAAAAACTAGTCATGCATTTTTGAGTCAGTGGCAGCCTTGTTTTCTCCTGGGTTGCTAACTACCAAACAAAATGGTAACAGGTGGAGAAAGGGAGATCAGTAAGTGAAAATTGGTTTGGCACCACATTAACATTTTAAGAGGGAACAACAGCCACATGGGTAATGCAGACAAGTATTTCAACTATAGGCAGCAGCTTAATGATGGCAAGCGGGAGAGCAGGATTTCAGGAAATGCATGTAGACATATAAAGCAGGATTCTGAGAACTTCATCATTTTTTCATAGCAGTTGTGAGGTTTAGTTTTTCAGCCTAAGACTTTCTAATAGCCTGAGACTTGGACTATTCAGTTCTGGATTATATACATTGTGACATCAACACAGTATTTTTGTTAGAAGAGTATTTCTGTGACAAGCTTTGCACTTCAGTGATTAGTGTTTTACACCTTACATAAGGAGATGAAACAGTGCTAATCCCTCTCTAGCAAACCAAGACTTCCCTCTCATACATGTAACAACTGAAACCACTCTTTCATTGAGTGTGAAATCAGTGAGCCATGCTCCTATAAACATTTAGTATTTACATTTTTTAATACCTGAACTCTTTAAAATTCTATCACTGCTTATCACTCTGCTTTATTTCATACTGAAACAGGACCTACTTTAAGCCAATGTGCCTAAAGACAGGACACGGCCAGCAGCATATTTCAGAATTCATTATGAGAGTTTAAATATCCCCCAAAGCGTGTAGCCAGGTAGCTAAATACACAACAGACTTAGTTTATGGTGTAAGGATGCCAAACTAGATTTTTGCTCATTTTTCTGAAACATGTTGTGGAAGTTACAGTTTGTATTAATCCGCCTTATAAACTTAGGCAGATTTACAAAGATATAAAATTATGGTCTTGGTTGAAACATGGTATTTAGTGTACTGACATTGACAGTTTGCCAGGAAAACAGCCTTCTACCTCTAAATTACATATTTTAGCATGTCCTTAGGTTTTCAAACATAGATATGACAAAAGGACTTCTGAAATTTTAGTGACAAAAGTGGTATTTAAAATCCACACATTACTGCTGTCTTCAAAATATTTCAGATGCAAAAAAAAGGACATCTCATTCGGTCTAAAGCTGCTAACACTCAACTGTCATGGAAGTTAACAAAAATTCACAAAAAGGTATTTCACAAAAATATGATTAGGCTTAAATTTACATATCTGTACCATGAAAAATCTGGGCCTTAAACAATGAAAGCCGGTGCCTAGATACAGTATCTTTTCTGGGATATCACCAGGGCCTTGATCTTGAAAGAGAAGATACAAGTCCCTTGGTTTCATTTATCTCTCTGAGACAGGAATAGCTCTCTGCAGATACTTCTCTCCATCGACTGTACAGACCAGACAACACCCTTGCATAGACTCATAACACTTTTCAGTAACTCCTACAAGCACCTTTTGTTGCACCAACAATCATAAAGCTTATACCTGGAAGAAGTATGACTGGAAAGGCTGATCCTTGTTCTCCTCTTCCACATACAGTCCTCCAACAATGTAGACCTGGTTTTGTTTGGTGACTATACTGGAATGGTTTCTGGGAATCTGTTCTGCCAGGGCTGCTAGGTAGCACTCATTTTCAAGAGGATCATAAGCTACGGCAGCAGTGTCATTAACCAGAAGAATGAGGTCTTTGACAAACATGCCGTGCCTGGGAAGGTCATTTAGGTAGCCAGGCAGCAAATCTTCATCCCCTACATCACCATTCACCTCCCCTTTGGTTGACTTCTCTGTATTTTTGCTAGAGGAGTCAGGCAGTTTTCCAGCAAAAGCATCCTTAATAATCTTTACTTTTTTCTGAAGGTCTGAGTTGCTTTTAATTATATCATCCTTCTCAACATGTTCTTTGAAATATTTTTCTGGCATGAGACGAAAACGTATGCAGTCAAAAATTTCCCCCAGGCTCTTTACTCTGTTCTCCTTGTCTGTTCGGACCCATCTCATTACTGCCTCAAATACCAGTTCTTCCTTCTCTACATTTAAGCTGTCAGGTGAAATAACCGAGATAAGTTCATGCGGGGCAAGCTGCATGAAGTCCTCTTCTTTGCAGATCTGCACAAAATGATCTGAAACAAAATCACGGGCGGAAAACGCGAGTCTGGGGCAATCGAGCAGAACACCCAACCGAAGGATGGCCAGGCAGTTCCCCACAGCGAGCCTCTTCTGGAGATAGGAGACACACACGGTGAACACAGACGGGATCTGAAAACGACTGGCCAAAGCAAAGATATCTTGCACGTTAGAATCATTGAGATCGATACTTGCTGAATAAAGGTATTTGACAATCATATCCAGGATGTTGGGGTCGACGTTATCCAGGACCACCTCCTTCTTCTTCTCTTCACTTTGCTCAGATAAGAAATACTCACGAAAATAAGGGCTACATGCTGACAGAATCAATCTGTGGCAAGGCAGGCTCCTGTCACCGGCTTTTAGAGAGCAATCTACAAACTTTTTCTCTTCCAGGAGCTCCTTGAGGCCATCCTGAAGAAGGGTGGATTGGTAAAGTCTGAGCTCTTCAGTGAGTTCCCTCTGGGAATCCATTTCGCAAACAGTTGGGGAAGGGGAGGGAGCAGAAGGCTTTAGCTGTTGTCTGCCCAAAGGTCTGCCTGTAAAAAAGGCAGACCAATGTGCTTTGCCCTGCCTGAAGCCTCCGCAACTTAATCTCGCTACCTAAATATAGGCACATACTCCTGCAGGTCGGAATTTAGGAGGGATGGTTTGGGAAAAAAAAAAGAGTTGCTCTGGCAGCTGTCAAAGACTGAAAGAAGCAACTGTTGCTTCCAGTCACTATGGTCAGGTTTTACCATCATTCTCCACATTGAATCAATGAGATTACGTGCAATTTAAGACATTATTTGACATGAGTAAGGACAGCAGAATCTGACTCTCAGTGAGCCAGCTATGAGTGAGATTGTAAATATACATGTTACCAAATATTCTGAAATAGAAATATTATTAATCAAGCTGTCAGCTGCAACTACTGTTCACTTCTTCAGAGTTGCTTAATACATCTCATTGCTGCAGTTATAAAGATACCAACTATAAAGATACCAAAAAATTCCAGAACTTTGCATCAATGATCTGTGCTCTATTATTTTTTTATATACCCATATCACATCTATAGTTTCTTCAGATATTAATAATAAGGCTTTGAAATTAATTTTGAGCTTTTTCTTAATACCCATTTGGTTGTATTTATTGGTAAACAAACCCCTACTGTTTAGACATAAAATAGACATTATTCAGGTAAAATTCTGTTTTCTAAAATAATTTAAAATTAAGACTCCACCCCTCCTTAATAAACACCGTTCTTCATTTCAGATAATCTGTAAACATTATCAATCCTTTTATATTCTACCGTACCAGAAACTGGAAACAGTACATAGGAAAGGTAGAACAGAGAATGAAACACATGTAACATTACATGTTCACATTATTTAATGGGTGTCCAATTTAAAAAAAAAAAAACCTCAAAAAACCCCAAACCCTGAATTTAAACTAAAAAGCCCCAAATCAGCTAAGTAGTTTGAGAAGTGAATGTAAATTTAGAAAAATCATGCATATGTTGAAAGTTTCACAGTTTTGACTGGGAACATTTAGATTTTTATTAAAGTTGGTAATAGTGATCTAAAACAAATTTGACCTTTTAAGTTGTTTAATGTACCTTGATGAGGAGCTATATTTTGCTCATATAGTGAATGCTTTTTACCCATATGGTAAAATGTTCTTTGAATGCAATGGAAACAGGATAAAAACACAACTATTTGAATGCAAGATCTACAAAGAGGTGTAACATTATAAAAGTTTATTGAAATCATTATTCCTTTTCAATATAGGTAGTATCTCATCAAAATATATACTTTGAAAGATTTTCTACAAACACCACAATTAGAGTCACACCACAGTTACTCTACTATAACAGTCAGCTGCTAAAACAACAGCTGATAGGAGATCTCATTTGACTTTTTCCACTTATAGAAAATAGCGCAGAGGTCTTATGTCACTAGAAAACGTAACAGCTGCATCTTCCTTTGAACAATAAATGACTCATTTCTCTCTAACACATAACATCATAAAGGTCTAATGACTCAGACACAGAAGCTATTTGTGCACTTTCTTCTAGACCATTCCTTAAAAAAAGTAGCCAAAAAAAAAAAACCAACAAAAAACCACAAAACATGTATGAGGGTATCTGGATTACAATTAAGTACCTGGAATGATATGTGGTGAACATTTGACAAAATTATGAGACATGAAAACAGTATGGCTTTTTGTTAAAGTTATCAAGAACACAAAATGTTCTGAATATGACGCTACTGATGCTGCACAACACTAAACAAGTTATGGAAATCTGATTTCGGTATCGTCATTATGGGAAAGCACATCACTGTGTACAAATACACACATTGAGCATCAAGCTATATACCACGTGCTGCCCTCTCTCAAATGGTGGTCCCTGAGTATGCAGGAAGAGGAAGCTGCCTTTTTTGACATCCTTCCAGGTAAAATGGCAGGGCCTGCCTGCCCCTGGCAGCCAATCACAGGGCAGTACGTAAACACACAGGCCATGAAGTTATAAAAAAAATAAAATATGGTGGCTACCTGTCATAAAATGGTGGCTGAAACACCACGGCAGCCCCTGTGTTGTCTGGGGAGGGGGCTTCCTGCTCCAACAACCTTCTGGGGGAGGCAGGATGGGGTGGCTGCTCCTGCCAATGACACGCCTGAAAACACCTGGGGTCAGAGCGTGTCAAAGCCCGTAGGCTGCCAATCACAACACAGTATGAAAACACGTCGGCTGTGACAGTTGTCTCAACGGCGGCGGAAATAAAATGGGGTCTGCCATGACTGTCGCGGGGAGGGTCCTTACAACCCCACAGCAGGAGGGAAGGACTCTCTGCTCCTCACACCATGTGACCAGCAGATAGGCGGGGCTTCTGGAGTTTGTGGATCATGTGACTGGCCATGGGGGCGGGGCTTCCACCAACCCCTTCTCATGGTGGGTACTGGTTGTCCTCACACTGTTTACAGGAATGATGTCATAAATAAAAAGCTGTTACACATATCAGGGGTTTGAATAATCTTTCCTTTACGACGTATTCTGAGGGCGTATTATCTAACACTTGCCTGCTCGTTGGCTTTGGCATGTTCCTTCTCTGCTACTCTGGTATTTCTAAATTCCCTTCTACGCATCCCATGAGGCCGCTAAGAACTGAGAGTCCTTCCCTGCTCCAGAAACAGTCGCGTGCCCGTCCAAATCAGGTCATCACTTCCCAGAGTCCCTGCAGTGTGAATCCATCCTTCAGCTTCTCTATGGCGAGTCCCAGTTCTTCCGAAAAAACAGGCTCCCCATCATGTTGCTTTTTTGAATGCACAAGATAGGAGAGAAAATAGAATAAAGCAGAAGGTACTTTTAGCTTTTGTTACCATATTTTAACAATGTGAATTTGATAGTATGAAAAAAGATGTTCTTACCTTGTTTTCATCAGCAAAGTAAGCCTGGAAAAAAAAACAACAAAAAAGAACTCGCAACCTTAAAAAATAAAAGTCTCAAAACAAATGTGCTAATAACTCCTTGGAGTCAAAACTGTATTTGGTAAGTTTTTTTCAACAAGCCAGTCTGTATGGTTTTTATTTTTGTTTTATAAACAACATCAGAGTTTTTTCTATGTTGAATAATTTATAAAAGGGCTCTAACAGAAGTTGGTGATTATGTTATTTTTCATTAAATACCAATCTTTGAATTTTCCACCATAACAAACACAGATTTTTAAATGGTACCATTTTCATATTACACATGTTAGACAGACAAATACTTTATAAGGAACAAAATGTTAACATGAAGGCAAACTGACAGCATCCCAGCACTCTCCACATCATGTGCAGCAGCATTTAGTATTCAATTTCAAAAACTACCTTAAAAAGTGTAAGTAATATCAAAATTTAGTTAACATCATAATCTAGGAAATGAAATTGAACAATGGGACTGTTCAGAGTAACTGAACAATTAACCAAATTTTTCTACTCTCAGACAGAGCTCTGGGCCAGAGATACAGTCTTTCCCATTCTGTGCGTTTGGTAATTCAGGTTCAGACTCTTCAGGAGATCAAATCTCTGAAAATACCCACAACTCTAGAAGTCTGTGGACCAGTAGGCTCTAGATCTTCATATTTACCAGAAAGAGCCTGATCTTGCTTCAGCTGCCTCTACGGACTGGCAAGGGGCAGCAAAGAAAGCGTTTTCCTGCTCAGCTGGGTCTCAAGCTGTACAAGACCACAGAACAGCATCGCAGCCATCAAGTGTCATGCAATATTGGTGGGGAGCCACTCCTCGGGGCCTGGACAATCTCCAACTCCTGTAGCAACCGCCTTCTAATCATTTACAGCTTCCAGATTTTGTTTTAGAACATGCAAAGCACAGTCTTTTGATTCAGGTGACAAAGGTATCACTAGAGCAAACAGAATCGATCTTTAGGGAAAAAATTAATAAAAACATGCAAAAATGAAAAGAAAAAAACCTAATGCAATAAAAAGTAAATTTTCCTGAAATACTGGGAGACAGATATTAAGTTTTCTAAACTGGTGTCAGGAGTGCAAAGGTTGTCAGCAGTGACTCAAAATTATGGCTCCTTTCTAAAAATCTTTTGAGGTTTGAATCTTAGATGAAATGTGAGTGTACAGATATCACCATCTATTAATCTGCTCCAAGAGAAGGAAGACTTGTTTTAATAGACTGTATTTGATTACATTATACTGGTGGTTTTCAAGCTATTCCTGATCTTAATGCATTGAGAAAATGCATACAACTATTACTTTAAATATCTACTTCTATTTCTTTTGAACAATAGTTTAAGTTAAAAATCCATACACAGAATAAATTCCTGTAGTAATCAAGATTTTAAATAAAAGGCACTTAGGTGTGTTTTTAAATATAGAAAGTTCAGTTATAGCTTATCTTTAATAGAGGATTACAGCTGCACATTACTTACGTTTGAATAACCAAACAAGAATTATTTTAATTTTTAGTTTTCTGTGGAGTAGCTTACCACAAAAGCATCTGTATGCTCATCAGATTCTATTTCCACATCATCTTGAACCTGCTCCACTGTTAGGTTTTCAAGAGGCTGAGGCTGCAAAATTAAAATTCTGAAGTAAGTAAATCCACATATTAGATATGTTTAATATATTTTTATTACTGCTGCTAGCACAATATTGTATCTAATTTAAAATAAATGAGTGGAGTACCTTTTCTTCCATTTCATAATCCACTCCAAATATAGGGTTAGCTGAGTAAACTCTGTGGAGTGAATTAATTTCTTTCACTGCCTCCTGTAGTTTCTCCACAGGGTCTATTTTAAAACCAAGTACATATCCTCCACTCTGTGTAACAGAGAAAAAAGAAGACGTATATTTATTAGTTTTGCTTGTCATTTAAACAACTTTTTCCCCTTGATAGGGATTTTCAGTTCAATGATAGCAAATTTCTCTTTGCTCATAAAACATCATCTGTATTTTGGTATTAGCTTATTTTCATAGAAGCAATACTCATGATTTATTTCTAGATACTCATGAAATGTTTAGTCTGTTAGATCTTGACATTGCTGTTAAAGAAACTTTCAGATACAGCAATTATTTTGTTTTATTTTTAAATCACCATTAAAAACATTTCTGATTAAGGTCAAATTAAAGAAAAATCATTTTGTCTCTTATAGCAAGACAGATAGACAAGTGAAAAAAATTTAAAATAGTGGTCTTAATTAAGTATAGAAGTAATTAGAACTGAAATATAATCTGTCAGAAGACACTGTTTTTAACAGTTATTTTATTACTTTAACTAGCCATGCTGGTCTGTTGTTGCTTCGCTTAGAAAAACCATAACTCACAATAGCCATATTGACCTTAACATACGGACACTTTAAGCAGTGCAAAGAGGGCTTTTTTAAAGTTGTGTTCAAAAGGCCACATGGAAGGTACCTTAAAACCAGCCCTGTGACATTTCAGAATTAGAGAACTATTATATATAAAAATGTAACCCATGAAAAAAAAGCTATTAAAGCTTCTTACCTGCTGAGAACTCTCTATCACAAGCGCCAAGCCAAACTTTGAGTCTCTTATTTTTATTGAACGCTAATGGTAAAGAGGTAAAAAATGTTTGTTAAAAATTCTGGAATTACTTGATAAAAATCTGCTGTATCTATTTTTAAATATTTATTTTTTACACAGTACTAATTATAATTACTGGTTCTGGAAGCTTGGTTATCAGCATTCCCTCCCATTTACCATTATGTATCTGAATGCCTCAACCTGAGGGAAAAGTGTTTTTATCAGAAATGGTAACACTGCTAGCAGTTCCATTTCTGAACATCAGGTTTGCAGATCCTTAATTCCACTGTATTTAGGTGGCATGAAGAATCATATTTTGAAAATTGGAAATACAAGCCATTTTCAACATCTGTACCTGCCCATGAAAGCCCCCAATCAATCTGGACAGAAAAAATAATAAATCTACTCTGTGGTTGATGCTGGTAAGACTAAATTCCTCCCAGACTGCAGGACACAAAATACTAATTTTGTCAAGCTGGGAGTTTTAACTGAAGACTTGAACTTATGCCATTTCATTTTGAAAATGGCTGCTTTAAGATACTTACAATTTGTAGATATGGTATGCTGACATTGAAGCTGTCATTCATATTTGCATGCCAAACTATTCTCACATTAGTAATAAAAAATGTTCCCAAATTTCCCTATTAAAGAAAAAGGTATGTTAGAACTGCTATGAAGCATAGAGCCTTTTTCCCCAAACATGATGATTACTGCTATCCTTTTAAACACACGCAGGATACAGCTTCATATTTAATTCAATAAGAGCCTCATTCTTTCCCACAAAAACCAGTCAAAGTCCTTCTATTGATTGCAAGGAAACAAGGTCCAATCTTTAAAGGATACAGCACCCAAGTGGTGAAAATAGCTGGGAGTACCTATTACTGCAGCAAAGCAGGATCAAATCACAGCACAGCAGACCTCAGAGGAGGACATGAAGCATCTCAGAGCGTTCTTAACTGTACAGATCTGGAATTGGCCTATAGCGTAAGTATAATGGCATGTGGGTTAAACTTAGGCAATTGTGGAGATGTGTGCCAAGGGAATGTAGAGGAAAGAACTTTTTAGCTTGTCAGGATGGATCCTATTTCCATTCTGGACTAAAACTGCACAGACAGAAATAACTGCTCCCATTTTGTTTTGTGGCTCTGGGAAATACTTGCAACTAATGGTCTGTAAAATAATAGAAATGGTTTCTATTTTTTTTTTTTCCTTAGTATGTTTTTTTTTTTTTCATGTTTTAAGACATAGATTCCTACTCCAGCATTTCTGACTTCCAGTAATCAAAAGACAATGCAGTCTTACACTGCAATCACATCTGCACATAAATATACAAATATTCAGCAGAGCACTTCATAAACAACATGATTGTCTTTCAGGATTATATAGAGGTTTAGACTCATAAATATATCTTTTTAACAGGAACTGTACATCTAGTTCCTAGCGTATTAGCCGAGTCATGTAGACTTCTGGTTGCCAAAAAGAGACTTTGTTGTACTGAGTAGCAAATATATGGGATCAGCTTCTCTGCATGCATCAGATGATGAACTGAATTATGGGTAATTCCTTTGAAGTTACAAAACTATAGTAGTAAAATTGCTAAATGAAAGCCAAAACATTTTAACTTTGCTGTAGTCAACATAGTTTCATTTTTCACTATACCTGGTCACTTGATAAATTCCAGACTCCATTGATTTTATTATATATTTGTTCTTGTGGCAGTAATCTCAGTTGCTTGTTTTGAATCAATGCACTTCTCAGCTTCAGATCACGATACATTTTAGAAGTTTCATAAGCTCTGCAAAAAATAAAAAATACATATTACCAATTCAGTGGTTTCTATTACCTTTACTGTTTGTTTTAGCACCAATATGAAATGCTGTATATTTTCAACTTTTCTTATCACCATGTTGCACAAAAATGAGGGTACTATTAAAACTTCATCAATGTAAACCATTATATTTCAACTTTCCTTAATGAAGTTATCTATAAACTTAAAAGGGTTTTTTGACATCTGTTTTGATCTCCTGTACTGTTCATGTGTATACTATTTTGTTCTTCTCCTTAAGATAGTCATCTCCCCGCCTCTACTGCAAAGAATACATCTTCTGGGTCCCATGTCATATCTAAGTATGGACATCAAGAACCCTTTATTTTTCAGCATCAGTTAAGTCACAAACATCCAATCTATGTACATCAGTATTCCATAGCTCTTAAATAGAAACCCATGGTAATGCATTTATACACACATTCATACAGATCACTTATTTTTAGGTGGGAAACATCCACTGTTTTGGAGTCAATTAGAATTTTGACAAGAATGTAATTATTCATTTCCATTACATGGTCCAAAATTATGGGAAATTATTTCAGACAGAAACTATAGATAGAAAAATGCACAGTGAAATTAGCTCCTTTGTACATTTACTTGTTCAGATAGTTTATACACAATAGGTGTACGAACTGTGATCAATGACTGGTATTAACACACATTAATTTTCATTACGCATAGTAGTCTACTACAATTTGCGATCATTCTCTCTCTGTCTTCCACAGATTGTGTTCTCCTCTCTTGGAAAAAGTTTTCTGAATGTTAAATATGGACAGTTATATCTCAGTCCATCAGCAGCAGTAACACCACATATTTGACTCAATTGAACTTTGTAAATGAACAAACACTATTTCAAGTATGCTACCTGTGTACCGCAATAACTGAAGTGAAGAGTCTGGGACTCCCAGGGACAACATTGGTAAATATGAACTCAAACCGTGTATTGTTACATTTAGTCAATATATATAGAGCTTCTGTCTGCCCTCGTAATTTCTGTAACGAAAAAATGAAATTTAACATTTTTACAATATAGCAGTTTCACTGTCCAGGCAAGAAATAATCAACATATTTTCTAAATTCTTGTTCTAACTAGTATATCTGAAGGTGTAATCCTGATTCTACGACTTATCTACTGCTGTCTTCAACTGAACCCAGTTCCATCTACAGCAGAATTAAGGAAGACCGCCTGCTATACATTCGCACTATCATGACTAACAGTATTTTTGGCTTTGCTACCACATGGCTGCCCGAGGAACATACATAATCTCCCTGCTAGTTCTTTGCTGCCAGCCAAACAAATGGCTTCACAGTTGCATGCAATTCAGGCTATATATTTGAGAGCTCTCTTGCACAAAATCAGTGCCTCTCTAGACCTTTGTTAAATTGAGACACAATGAGCCATCATGTGCTTGACTCACCTAGAGGGAAGAATCACCAAACAGTGCAACTGCATGAATTTTACTGCTTTAGGAAACAGACGAAAAACACACTCCTACAGAAGTGTAAAACCCTTTGAACTTCTAAAACTAAACTTCCATTACTATTCTATTACTGTTCTTGCAAGTACACTCTGAGATTGTTGATATGCTGCAATAAGTATAAACAATGAATTAGAGCTGCTTTTATTATTTTTTAAAGTATTTTTTGAAACTTACCGAGTTGGCAGTTCTTGTAGTTATATTTATAATGCAGTTGTAACCAACAGCTAAAAGTTAGGAGAGAAAGAAAAAAAAGAACAGTTTTGAGTACAAGAAAAAAAATAGTCAAAATTAGAAAGTACAATATTGAATTCTGTAGCACAGCTTTGGATGCTATTTGTGAGAATTACACATTGTGGTTAATGGTCTGGACCCTCATCACAAAATCAAAGACTAATTTAAGCTGCAAAGGCCCTTGAGAGGTTGTCTGGTCCAATGGTCTTCTCAAAGCAGGACCAACTCCATCTGGCTGTTCAGGGTTTTGAATTTTTCCAAAGAAGATTCCACAACCACTCAGGGAACCTGTTCCACAATTTTACTGCCATCATTGTGAACATTTTTGTCCTTATATCGGATCAGAATTTCCCTTGTTTCAGTGTTTGACTGTTACCTCAAGGAGTCTGTATCATCGTGATGTGCCCCATAAATTTCACCCTTATAAATAAAACTTTCTACATTGATATAATACTTTGTAGAAAAAGAGCTAAGAAGATGACAATTAAAAAAAAAAAAAAGAAAAAACACAAAATGGCAAGTATAAATGGAGAAGAAACAAAAAGGAGGAAAAAAGTTATACATTTCACTTTGCCTCTTCTACAGTAGTGCTCTGATAGAAAATAAGAACAGAAACAATCCCAGCTGTTCTTCCCAAACAGATGCCATAAAATGGTGCTGGGCTAAATCTGAATGTCAATGACAATCCTGCAACTGATACCAACAGTAGCACAGCCAAGTTAAAAAAACATAAAATTAAAAAAAATATCAAAGGAGAACTAGAATTTGCTTTGAGAAGGTTCTGCTTCTCCAAAGCTCAGATGTGACAGCAGTTATACAGATAAGAACATTCATTCTTTATGGAATAAATACTTATGAAAATAACAGAAAAAGACTATTTCCTAGGTTGCTTACGAGAAATTTTCTAAAACTAAAAGAAAGAGCAATGGTCAAAAATGGCATCCGATAAAATATTTTTTTGTCTATATATTCTTTAATGTAAGAAATAATGCATTATCCTGAAAGCTAGAGAGTATTTTAAACTCTAAAAGGCATAGATTAGAATTCCTTAAACTTCTATAGGGCTGAACTACTCCACAACATTCTTTGTGATCTCCTCTAAAAAAGTCTATTCTAAAACTTAGATATACAAGCAAACAATTTCTTTTAAATTTTATAAATACATATAAAAGTAGCAGTGTGTGTGAGCACTTTTGTGTGAATGCATGTATGAGATAGCAAATGCAAAAGGGGAAGCAGGCAGAGGGCATAAGTTTATATACATAATGAACAGAAAACAGATTTTCAATCTTGATTGGGTAATGGGAACTGAGCACTAGAAATAATTTGGGTGCAAAGTGAGTGCATCCTGCACCTGTTTCAGCAAATTAAATTAAATACGAGTAGACCTGCTAGCTACTCATACAGTTAAAATTAGAAGCTTATACAGAGCTTATAATAGTAAATTTGGAAAGGCAAGTACTTGCAGGGAATAAAAACTGTAGGACAATACAGAATGTAAATAAACAGGTGGCAACAAGAGGTACGAGTGAAGCAAAGTGTGAAGAAACTCAGTTTCTTTCTCTCCTACATAAGCCAGATGAAAAATATGTCTGAAGTACTCATCAACTTCTGTTCTGAGAACACTGAGTATCAATATTTTGCTATGAATTTTTATAACAATTCCTCTTAATATTTTGCTATCATTTTTATAACAGTTCCTATATTACAAATAGATGCATTAGTAATAGTTTATCTCAGACTTTACAGAGTAACAGAATTATACTTTCATATTCTGTACTGTAATCAATACCAGCGTGAAAGAATAGCATGCCACCACAAAGGAAACACAAAATTTGCAGTTGTTTCACAGGAAATGATACTTACACAGATTGACTCTGGGCAGTGACAGTGAGCGCCAAATAATCCTCAAATTTGTCACAAGCAGTCTACCTGGAAATGAAGAGTGTAGACATATTTAATCTGCTTAACTTCCATTAAATTAAACGTTCCGTTCAGTGGTACATATCTACCTCTAGTTTTGAAACACCAGAATATTCCTTCCCCTTGATAGGGAAAAGAAGAAAAGCACAGGACACCCCAGCAGAAAAAAATAAATAAATCACTAAACGCTTTTTAGAATGCTAGGAGAGAAAATCCAACAAGGAACAAATGAAACAACCTTTAATATATCCCAGTATTCCTCAAAACCAAACCAAGAACTGTTACTGATTTCACATCACACTGCCTATGGTACAAAAGTGGAGACACAATCAGTGCAGAACTGCTCTGGGGAGGAGAAGGGGAAGGCAGTGATTAACTATCGCAGCTGTCTTCGTGAATAACCTCACCCCTTTATGTCACATGCAAATTGCTTTGATTCTGTACCCAGTACAGCAGCACATCCAGCCCCAGCAAGGGTTATCTCAGCATGCTGGCACCTTCATGCCCTTGCATACTATATATATATTCCTTACTGATTCAGTTTAAACCAGGTTAGGAAAAACTAATCATTAAACAGGATTAAAGCAGAAGATCCTCACACTGTTTATAAATGGATTGTTCTTTACAAGGCTTTCAATTCCTAACAAATTCTGAGACAAGATTGTCACGTTCCTGTATCTGTGAACAAGAGATCCTTTTTGAAAATACTCTAGGGGGAGTCAGATTTGTGAAATAGGCAAGATCTATTTTCTGCAACAGACAATTCATACTGAGTTCAATGGAACCAGACAGGGATTTCATGAACCTATACAGGTTAAATATTAGAAAGTTTACAATTTCCCTGAGTATGTGGCTACCTCTGTCTCCATTGTTTCCTTTGGTATCTTCAACAGACTCTAAGCAGTCTATAAGGACCTCTCCAGGTCTCATTTTCATTTGCCTAAAAGAAAAAAAAAAAGAAGGAAAAAATTACCTAATGAAAAACAGAATAGATTTATCCTCCAAAAGAAGGCCATTGCTAGTTCCCCATTTTACTTTCCTTTCTTTTTTTGCTTGGCACATCATACAACAAAAAATCCATATGTATATATGCACGCATACACACAAATCAACATTAAATACTTGAAATTTTTATCACTACATCTGGCAAATGAAAAATATTAATACCTTTACCATTAAATTATAACAGTAAATAATTATGTAGCAAGTGTGACCAAGCAAACTATGTTCCAAAATAAGGAGAAAGTGTGTGAAAATGTGAGGGAAAAGCAAAAAAGTTGCATTCATATACTTTTCAATCATAGTTTGTTGCTTCTTGCCGTCCCTTTAGGTTATAAGGAGTGGCGCTAGGCTCAGGAAAGAATAGATGCCAGTAAAGGAAGTATAAGATATATAACAACACGTGAAATGCTCTGCTAAATTTTCCACAAACGGTGTAGTTTGGTGGTATTTTTGTATTTTGCTTCATTTAACTAGTCTCACCACTTAATTACACAACAACAGATATAGTGTGAAATTTTGCTATATTTTAATTGTATCATGTAAAGCAGCCAAAACTCTTCAGTGTATTGGCACAACAGAAACAAAATAAATTATCTGGAGGGGAATTCCATGAGATAACACAGGATCGAGACAGTAGGCTTGGACTCAACAATACATCACCAGGACAGCACAAAAGATGTTAGACACAGGATGCAGCAAGAATAGCAACATTAGCGTGAAAGAAACTATGGAAGCAGGCTCTGTCTATATGACAATTCCACAAGAAAATAAAACAGAACTATTTAAACATCCAAGGTACAATTTCACGTTTCTAAATTTACTTGCAGACAGCATGTCTGAGGGACCAGGGGTGCTCTCAGCAGGGTGCACTGAGTAGGAGGGAGGTGAAGCATAACTTCAGCCTTTCTTTCAGCCCCCAAATCATCACCGATCAGTTGCTAATTTGTAGCTCCATATTACAAAGGCCAGGCAGGGTTTTGTCCCAGACACCAGAGCAGAAGCGGTTTGTCTCAGATAAGGCTGTGACAGCTCAGCAGAGGTCAGGGCTCACGGCAGTGAGGAAGCACTGCCTCCACCAGGATGTACGCGACAGCCCTTCAGCTCTGCCCCTCGGGCGGGGGTGCAGAGCTCAGGCTGCCAACACCACGGCAGGGACACCGGGCCCAGAAGGCGACACACCAGTGACAGATACCCTCCCCTCAGACACACACCTAAAGTCTGATTTTCACTTCTCAGCGCCAGGTGACGGTACAGGCGGCTGGGAAAAGAACACCAACAACCCCAGCCAGCCCGCCTGAGCCTCAGCGCCGACACGAGCCCTTTCCCGCCCGGCCAGGAAAACGCGCTCCCCCCGCTCCGCCGCTGCCGCCTCACCGGGACGCCTCCCAGGATGCACCGCGCCATTAATGGCGGCCGCCCCCAGCCTACCGCCGGGCAGGGCTCAGCCTACCGCCAGACGCCGTTCGGGCCCGAAAGCCCCGCTGGAAGGGGAGGGGAGGGCAACGACACTCACTGCGGGGAGATGTCGAAGCGGACATCTCTGTCCTCCCACAGCACGTCCAGCACCGCGCTCATGGCTGCCGGCCGCGGCGCCCCTCCCTCCGCGCGCCGCCGTGGCAACGGGGGTGGTGTCTCGCGCTCCCGCCGCCCTCGAGATTGGCTGCGGCGCTGCACGTGGGTGAGGGGGAGCCACCCTCGCGCCCGCCTCCCCAAGCCCCGCCCCCGGCTCGGCTGAGGGAGCGGGCGCGCGGGAGGGCGGGCCGCCATCTCGGTGGGATGGATTGGGATGTATCATGACCTTTTTCATTTGGGATAACTTGAATTTTGTATCTAGCCGAATTTTAACTGCAGTATCCTACCACTTTCGACCAAAAAAATTACTCTAAATAAGTACGACTCATGGGAAAAAACTTGCCCTCTGACAGTCCTTTCCCTGGAGCTGGTCCCTGAATTGGTGAGGGGCCTGTGGTGACCCACTGGGCAGTCGATAGGAACGCGATGAAGTCAAAAAGGCCAAGGGCGTCCCTCGGCCTGTCCCTCCTCCCGCCCTGGCCACCGCCAACAGCCAACAACCCAATCCACAAACCCGACCTAAAATTATCATCGGGTTTCATATGCAGGAGTGCCTGATCTGAGATGTCTGATCCTGTTAAGGGCTGTGGCAGAAATCCTGTTCCATCATCAGGAGCACGTTACACAGGAAGTGTAGTTTAGCTGTGAGGTAAGCTTTTAGTCCTGTAAAGGTATCATTATCCATTCTTTGTCCTGGCAGTAAATCCATAAATGTTTTATTAGAAACAAGCTTTTAAGTATATAAGTAATACAAAAACCATCATATACAGGCAGACATAAAGTAGAAAGCAATATGGCAGTGAAGGGCAATAAACTCTATGCTGCATTTGATGTTTTGAACATAATTTTTAAACGTTTTTTAAGAAAGGTAAAATAGTAAAATGCATTTAAAAATTAGACTTGGCTTTCAGGAGAGAAACACGCCAAGAACCACTTTGGACATGAACTAACCTAATTTAGTGATGCCAGCTATTGGTATCGTCACTCCTGCAAATCTGTAGATGCATTTTAATTGTATTTCTCATGTACCTTGCTAGCTAATGGAAACTGAGGAAAGTTTACAGAAAGAAGGACTAAATGTAACTGTGATGTGGTTAGCAAAGGTGAGTAGCTGAGCCACCTCCCTACCTTGTGACCTAGACAGCACATAGGCCACAAGTTGATGCACTTGCTGTATTTATCTGTGTTGAGTAGTACTCTGCATGTAATTTGGAAATTGATATTTTATGCTTGTAATATTAAAATGGGATTTCTGGGAACACTGTCACTTAAAAAAAGTGAAATCTTCACTGCAGAATCCATGCCAAACATCAGATTTCTGTAACAGAGAGAAAAGAAATTACATCGTTTTAATAAGCAAAGACTGCTTTCCAAAGCCATATATGTAATTTAAAATGAGGTATAGTTAGTGATTGTACAGTGGTAGTATTTAAAGATCTAGGCGAAGGAAGGGCAATTACTGTGGCAAATGCTGTACTCATCTTACTATACCTTAGTAAAAAGGAAATTTTGTACTCTTGATACTGCTGCAAAATTGCTATTTTGTTACATAAGAACTACATCATACAATATATGCAAAAAGAATTAAAGTGATCTTGCATAGGTAGACTTTTTAAATTAGTGAGCATATCTTCATAATGTTAACATTCTTTAAATTAGTGGGTTTGATTTTACATACCATGCTGGATAATTGGTAACAAACACAATCAATCAATAGCTTCAACTTGCTCGTTATTAATGTAGAGATACATTCCTACCTCCAGAAAAAAATACACAAGCCTCTCTACATTCCTCTTCACTCTCAAAGCGGTTTGCATTTCCATCGCAGCCACCATACCAAAACTGAGCACAAGCATTGGCTTGTTTGTCATAATACCATTTTATGATATAAACACGGCATGGCCCTTGATCCAGCCTTAACTTGCACCGGAGGTCCAGAATACTTTCTAAAATAAAGAAAAAAAGGAATAGAAACAATTTAATTTGTAAGAGTCAATTGTATTGCATAGATTTTAACTTTTAAACTCTGAAATTATTTTTTTTAAGTAACATTATACAGCAGCCTAAGATTCACTTTTACTTCTAAAGATGTTAGCATTGAAGGCAAGTTCAAAATATATCTCTGTAGGTCAAATAAATTGCTCCTGTACTTGCATGGTTCTAATAACTACAGAAATATTATGGCCCCACATACCAGAAGAGCAAAGAATATGAATAATTAGCAGTCTTGTGAGTAACCCAAAATCGTAAGCCGAAGAGCTGTAAGCTAGTTGCATTTGCTGTTTTTGAACCATGAATATGACCATCATCCTTGTGCAATACATTGCTTCAGTACATTAGTTCTCTTTGTGGTGTGGGAGAGGAGGCATGGGAATAGCAAGAAGAATATAAAACTTCAGGCTTTCATTTGTAAGATGTTTGTGCTACTTGTCTAATACAATGGTAGTAACTATGTACATACTAGGTAAGCTTGAATGTAGAGCTTGTTGGTCTAATAATTCCTACAGATATGCATTAGAGGACTGTGACATACTAATCTAGTCTCACTCACTTTAATAATACCATGAGATAGAACATACTTTTCCTTCAAGTTTAATGTTGTGACATCAATATTCTGTCTTTGGCAATTGGTATTGCCAGAGTTGTTGCCATAGACGGGATAATAGTCATGCCCATGTTCCCAGGAAGCACGGGAACATGTTTCTATTGCTCTCTTCTGTTGCTCCCGTCATAATACAGTATTACTGGAACTCAAAAATGTGAATCCCCCAAATGGTGAACAAAATAAATTCAGACATTTCATATTAAAAGAATCAACTGTTTGAACAGCCAGGTAATTACTATACTATTACTAAACACTGTTTTTTCATATTTCTCCTCTGAAGGAGAAATCTTATTTTTTCTGTCCGATTCTGAAATAATTTTCTCTGTCTTTAATGAAGCCTCCCATCTCCACAGACTGCCCCTTCTTGGTTGACTAGTTACCTGCTCTCTGGCCCACCTCAGCTAGCACTATGTTCTCTTTTTGAGAACACTTCTGCTGTAAGTGGAGCAGTGGGATTTGGAATTTGGAAAGACAAGAACTGGTGAACAGGCTGGACAAAAACTGCAACTGGATCTGTTTTAAAATCTTGAAATGGATTCTATTCCACAGCATGGGTTCACGAAATCTTCAGAGTGTGGAACAAAATGACTCTGATTTATAGCTTTATGAAAAGTTAGTATCAGGGTAACAGGGAACAAAATGAAAAACTAGTTATGATCTATAACCTGGTTTTGGTGTGAGCCCCGCAGTTGAAAGAGATGATGTCATCACTTTATCTGATGATGATGGTTTAGATGGCAATAATGGTACCACAGCTGCAGGTGAAAAGAAACAGAATGAGACACTGATTTTTGATTGGCCAAAAATTAATATGAAGAAATGAATGATGATAAAATTACCTCTAGTGTGCACTGTTAGCAAGGATGACTGTTCCTCCTCCTCTTGTTCCTCTTCATAGGCTTCATATACTACCACAGGAGCTACTTTGGTCTGAAATAAGCATTTGATTTTCTTTGCTTTTCAAACATTGCTGATTTCAGACATTGAAATTTCAGACATGGTTCATTTCAAAATAAACAAGCTCCTCATCGCTTAGAGGTTTTCAAATGTTTTTCCTCCCCTTTTACCCTCACTTCAGTGTTAAGAATGAGGATTATAACCTCACCTGGTTGATTTAGCAGGAGGGTTGTCAATCCTAAACCTGGGATATTTTTTTTTTAGTTGACCTTTGCAAAATTTTATTTATAAACTTAAAAATACATACTACAATTGAGTCTAATCACTGTTCCTAGACTTAATTATTACAGTGTAATTGCATTTTAATAATGTTATGTTTCACACTGTGGCACAAATATTACTGTATTAAACACAGGAATAATAATCTTTGTAACTGTATCAGAAATTAATTAGATAACTGCCTGCATGCCATTAGATAACTGCCTGCATACAACATCAGAACTCTTACTTGGAACAACCAGCTCTGAGTATATCAAGTTGAGCTATTAGAGTACCTGTCCTGTAGAAAAGTTGAGGGAAAGTTACACATTATATCAGGTGGCAGAGAAGGATATATATAAAAAACTTTTGCTCATTTAGGCCTGCTAATTTTCGTACCGGAGTTAATGGTCGAGGAAGATCGCCAAGGCTCAGAGGACTTTCTACTGTAGATACTCCAGGTGTCTGTGCTGAAAGTGATTGTCTATTAACATTGTTCTGAAGTATGTAATGTAAAGAACTTGAAGATCCTGAATGGAAAGATGGTCCAATTATGCTCGCACCATTTCCATTACGGTTGTATATTAAGGTACCGTGTTCGTCTTCACAAAATTGGTTGACTAATTTGGACTCCAGAGCTGTTTAAAAAAAAAGTAAAAACCTCATCATATTGAGAAATTAAATGTATTTTTTTGAATTTGGATTATTTATATATGTAAATAATATACATATAGTCCAGTAGTTCTTTGGATTATTTATATGCATTTAAGAATGGAAGTGAATAAGTAGAATTTACCCCAGTGGATTTGATTCTGGTTTCCAGTCCAGCAGATTTACAGTATGTGGGCACTTAGCTTAGAAAGCTAGTTAAAGCAGCTGTTTTCCTACACTGTAGGTGGCATCCCCCATTGGCGTGATGAATCATTGCCCTATAATGTGTCTCCTTAAAAGAAGGGAATCTGTATCTCTAGGTTCTTATTACTTTGCACCTTGTAATTAATCCTGATTAGCATCAAAATATAACATATCCACAAGGGTATGTTACATGCAAAGCTTTCTCCCCCGCCCCGTTCTGAGAAGCATCAAATATAATGCAGAATAAAACTACAATGGACGCACCTGGAAGAGTATTAAAGTCATCAATAAGGTACATGTGTTCACTGTCTGGATCGGAAGCAATCAGATTTAGTTCACGCACAAACTCGACCTGAGTTGGATCTGAAGTATTTACAATTCCTATTGCATACATTTCAATGTTTGCAGCGTGAGCCTCTCGAACAACAAT